CTCACTACAGTGGTACCTCAGGTTACATACACTTCAGGTTACATACGCTTCAGGTTACAGACTCCGCTAACCCAGAAATAGTGCTTCAGGTTAAGAACTTTGCTTCAGGATGAGAACAGAAATCGTGCTCTGGCGGCATGGCGTCAGCAGGAGGCCCCATTAGCTAAAGTGGTACTTCAGGTTAAGAACAGTTTCAGGTTAAGTACGGACCTCCGGAACGAATTACGTACTTGACCCGAGGTACCACTGTACAAGGCCTTAGGCAAGTGACTGACTATTCTCAGTGGTGTTATTTGATCGGCAGTAGGAAGAAAACTTACCTACCATACTTTAGGCAGATATTTTAAGAATTGCCACGGCAAAGCACTTGGAAGACTGCAAAAGTGCTATATGAATGCAACCATGTGGTTGTACGTCAGATACTTGCTTTTTTTAAAGACAAATGCCCATAAAGTGCAGCATCTCATGCAGTAAAATGGTATAAAGCAATGGACACTTCAAATAAAATCAAAACAAGCTTTATTATACTAGCCAAAGGCCATGATACAGCCATACAAACACCGTCAGGAAAGGAAACATCCATCTAACTATATAACTGCATATAAAAAGCAGATCCACTGCCTGGACCATCAAGATCATGTGCAGATTGGGGACTCCACACAGCACACAATATTTTCCTATTCAGACCTTGGAATCTCCTTTACAGTTTACTGCCATTTTTGTCCAGGTTCTTCTTCCTGATCTTTCTTGGTACCAGCTCAAAGAGGGCCACATTATAAGTCACTGGAGCATTAGCATAACTCAGCGGCCATAGAACCCTCTCTGCCAGGGAAAGCAAGCGCAATGGACACTTGAGAGACAAATTTCTAGCTCTCAGGAGGTAGCCCATGGTTTGCATGCAAAAGGTCTCAGATTCAGACTCTCTGACATTTGTTGAAGCATTCCTGCCTGAAATCCTGGAGAACTTATGTGAGGATCTGCCTCAATATCAAGCAATCTCCCCTGTTCTTGGTGTGATCTGGTTCCTTGCCTGGGGTGCTCCTAGAGCCAAATTTTACCACCGGAGACTTAAGTGACCTTGGCTGCAAGTGCGTGTGTTTCGCTAGCTAAAGCAGCTTTACACAAGCTGTGAACTCTCCTGGTCACAGTTATCCATGCTCTGTTAAGCTCCAAGTTAGACGGAAAAGTGTTTGGAAACATCAGCTATTGCAAAACACACTGGGATCAGGTGAAGGGAGCACATCTCACTGATTATTGAAGAGCAGCACTGGCTGGCTGCCCAACTTCAGAGCACAATTCAAAGTGCTGGTGCTCAGCTTTAAACCTCAATTTGGCTTGGGTCTTTCTTAATATCAACCAGCTGGTGTATTACATGGGTCTTCAGGTGCAGCACCAGCTCAGGTGAAGCAGGTGATGACTCGAGAGAGGACCTTTGGATGACCAAACTCCACCTATGGAATTCTCTCCCATGGGGGAGGCTTACCTGGCCCTTGTGATGCTATATTTTCAGCGACAGGCAAAGACCTTTTTTCTTTCCCCATGCCTTTAAACATCTACCCAGATTTCAGTATTTTTTTATTGCTGCTTTTATTTCACTATATTGATTGTTATAGTTTTATTACACTTTTATGTGTGTTTTATTGTTGGTCATGAACCAAAATACCTATTGAAAGGTGCTATATAATGACAACAACATTGTTTTCCTTCCATTCTTCCTACTGCACTCTTCTGTGGTACATTGTAAGGAACTTATATTTGAAGAAGCCACAAATTCATTTGCTGTGGAGTTTGTATCATTGGGGAAAGAACTCATGAACAGAAGAATTTTCAGATGAATCTTGAACGTCCAGTATTTATAGGTTCAATTTTTTTTCAGGGGCTACTCAAAGGTATGCAGTACCAGTACAGTGGTACCTCAGGTTACATACGCTTCAGGTTACATACGCTTCAGGTTACAGACTCCGCTAACCCAGAAATAGTACCTCGGGTTAAGAACTTTGCTTCAGGATAAGAACAAAAATTGTGCAGCGGCGGCGTGGCGGCAGCAGGAGGCCCCATTAGATAAAGTGGTTCTTCAGGTTAAGAATAGTTTCAGGTTAAGAACGGACCTCCGGAACGAATTAAGTACTTAACCCGAGGTACCACTGTACCTTTTTTCTTGTTGTTAAAAAGTGTGACATTTACTGTAACAACTTCATTGTGAGTACTGGCACCTATTTTTCGGGGGGGGGGAAAGCACTGTATATGTTCATATGCATACCACAAGATAACATCTGAAACAGCTTCCTGCAACCATTCCCAAACCAAATTTTAATCAATTCCATGTAAAAGAAGCATTGTGTCTCATTTTATTCATACTGAAGTAAAGATACAAAGCCTTGAATGCAAATCTATATTGGAGAGTCCGGAATCCAGATTTCCTGCGCCAGCTCTTTAATCACAAAACCACTCGCCTTTATTTCCTAAAGCACAATGGCGTGCTGTATAAATAGTACCTTACGCTGCAGAAGAAACCAGGAAGCAACACCAAAACATTCTCTTCCCGCACTCATGTACAAAGATTGGTATATACTTGAGCTTGGTGGATATAACACATTCAGATCTGAATTAGACAGATCTGAATTTGGTCTGATTGTGAAGCTGCTGCATCCCCCCCAAAAAAAGAGGACTACAACCACTAAATGTGGAGAAGTTATCCTTTAATATGCTTCAGCTACTCTCATATTCTCAGTTACGAGTGTCAAAGGGTAGGCTTCCATCCTTTATAAGCATGCTTGCTTGTAAAGTGGGGATTCAAGTGCATCAATACATTGCATCTGTAGCTCCCACCCTCGTTCCAGAAGTTCGGAGCAGCCTTGTCACTTGGGGGAGTGAGGGCCAGGCCAAAATTTGATGCCCCTACCTGCTGCCCTCAGGCTGCCTTCCCAAAGTTGGCTAAGCGAGGTGCCGGGTTTTTGGAAGGAGGCGCAAGGCTCTGGCAGGGTCCCAGAGCCTTCCCATCTCCTTCCAAAAGCTGGGAAAGTGCTAACTAGACTTTGGAAAGGAGGAGGGAGGACTCCAGCTGCGTCCCAACATCTTTTGGGAAGGCTGTGCAAGGGCTGCAGGGGTGTGTGTGTGTGTGTGTGTGTGTGAAATGTTGCTGAGGGCCTTCAAAAAAGGCTTAAAGTCCTGCATGGGCCATGTGTTGGACCGCCCTAAGCTAGAGGAAAACTATGCAGAGCAGCAAATGCAAATTTTACTTTTTTCTACACTCCTCTCAATCTTCCATCTGGGCAAGCAAGTCATTATTGGGGTCCAGGGATCATTCCCACCAAACAAGAGCCAGAGAAAGTGGATCAGAGGAGCACCTTTTGACCCAGGTCTTGAAGTTTCCCATCCCTGGCTTTAGCAAAAGCTCCACAGGAACCGGATTGCTTTTCAGTATCACAGTGTAAACAAAGTATAGGAAGTGTTGAGAGGTGATACCATTTAAACCAAACAGTGAGCCGTGCAGCAAAAAATGATAAGGAGCACATGACATTACCGGTATATTCAAAGTTTGGGGGTTTTTGGCTCACATTTACACCCTCTCTACGTTTCCCATTTCATTTATAACTTGGCACTATAAAAGACCCAGTGTTTCCTGTAGTGCTTTTACTGCACTAAAAACAAAGAGATAAATGAATGAAATCTATCTTCGGCTGTGTGCAGAGTAAATCTGACAGCAATTAACTGTGAGCGTGTTAATAGGATAAACCAGGGCTGGCCCAATACATTCTGCTGCCTGAGGCCATGAACAAGACAGTGCCTCTCCTTCCAACTCAGCTGGCAGCTGAATCTGACTTCCGCACTTATGACATGACAGCATTATCCGCTGCATGTGAAGCACCAGGCTAGTTCAGGGGTGAGGAGTGCAGGCTGTGGAAGAGATACAGCTCTGTCCTCAATAGACTGGAATTGCTAGGGGCTTAGGAGGAACAGCCAGGAGGTTACTGCTGCCGCCACCACCTCTCAACAACCCCTCAGTCACCTCACTTTGCCGAATGCTAGGGCCAGTCCTGGACAACACATTTACTGCAGTAGGAGGGCAGCCATTTCCCACAAATCACGTCCACCAGCTCCACACCTGACATCGTATGTTACACCAGGTGTTGGACAGGGAAGGCCATGCCTACAAAGGCACAATTAGGAGTTTAAGGTAAGCTCCCAGTTGTTCCTTTGCAAATGGGGCTGACTGACAGTGCCAGTCAGCTGACTAAAGAGATCCCCATTGGGAAATCCCGGTATTAGAACCATACAAACAACCCCATTTTAAGTGGCCTGCACTTTCTAAAGTTTGCCACCAATATCTTTGCAGCAGTTTGGTTTCTCAAAAATGGAGCAGCTATAAGGGTTGAAGGGAGTATAATTTTGTCCCCAACCATGTCATGAGAACTAGCAAATAATTCTGTTCTGTTCTGGCACACACCCCATACATTTAAAGGACCCTTCAAAGAAATGTTGGAAATGTAGTGGGAAATTATAGCTCTGGGGTATAAACTACATTTCCCAGATTTTTTTTTATTTATATATACTTTTCAGGTTTATACATTTCACTGATTTTACAATCATTTTGACATTTCAAAACTTGACTTACTTCCTCCTCTTTCTGCAGTTCCTTAAATTTATTTTTAATATCTTCTGCATATCCAAATTAACTTAATTTGCTTATTTATTTATTTATTCATCTTCTTTAAATATATACTCTTATGAAGCTGCAGGTTATTACAATAATCCTGCCAATGTTTTTATCTGTTTACAATTTATCTGTAAATATTCAAGAAACCATTTCTATTCTTTTATAAAAAGTTTGTTATCTTGGTTTCTTATTCTTCCAGTAAGTTTTGCCATTTCTGCATATTCCATAAGTTTTTGTATCCATTCTTCCTTTGCTGGGACTACTTCTTCATTCCATTTTTGGGCAAGTAACATTATTGCCACTGTAGTCGCATACATGAATAAGTTTCTATACAGTTTAGGTAGCTCTGACCCTATAATTCCCAATCCCCCCCCCCCGATTCTTTTTGTGTGTTGGGGGAGGGGAGGTAATGTGCTTTAAATGTATGGTATCTATGCAGCCTGTGTCCCTTATGAAATTCACCTCCCCCAGTCTTAAACCATACATAAATGTAACATGACAAGCTGAATATAGTGTTACAGAAACTGCAGACACTGCGCGATGAAGCTGCAATATATAGGTCACTAGTTTAAAGCATCTGAAAGATGTGGTTTTTGAATAGGTATATCCAGACTGTAAGACTCTGATATATATATATTAGAGGGCAGGATTATGATTTGCCTTGTGTGAAACCTACCGTATTTGCCTTGACAAAGGGCTAGGTACAGCTAAGCCCAGAAACACTTTGCTCTAGGCTGGAAATTCAGCTCCTGTCCATGGTAGAGTCTTCCATGATTTGCACAGAGATGGATGAAGAAAGTCCCCATACGATCCAGACCGGCTTGCACAAAAAGGATGAGTGCCGACATCATTAAACTTAAACCTCATTAGGGCTAAAGTCTGACGGCCGGACTTTCATGACAACCGATTTCAAAGAATACCACCAACCGTGCCACGTGTACCACACAATTCCATTGTCTGTCGCTGCCGAGTAGGGTCCATTGTAGTACAGGCCGTTCAGGTTGGCAGAGTGACATCTGGCAGAAAAAGAGAGAAATAAAGGATATCCTTTAGATTCACACAGAACCATCTATGCCCTGCAGTGCTTTCACATGGCAAATGCACGCACAACAACTATCTCAAATGTACACGCAAAGCGAATGTGGCTTACGTTTTCAAATCAGATAGAAGCTGGTTTGAGAGGAATTGCATCAAGACGCAGTATTTCTTTGGATTGCAGCTAACATCTTGCGTACATGGCTTTGGACAGCAGGGGTGGGAGCACCCTGGAGCCAGAATAAATGGTAATGTACACCCAGCCTATGTGTACGTGTAATACTGTGCTTAACACATTGCTTACCATAAGGGCAGAGGTCACAGATTACCACTTCTCACTGTTATAGCCACTGCATGAAATGTTTTGAAGCTGCAACTGTTCATTACCGTACTTTGCGTGCACCGTGATTTAACCTGGCAATGTTATTGTGACCCTAAGCCATGACTTATTGCTCTGTTAGCTCCTTCAGTCCCCCTCTCCAATATCATCCTAAATATCCTGCAGTAGCCAGGTCCGGATTAACCACCAGGGTAAAATACTATAGTAACTATATATACAGTGGTATCCCAGTGTCTCCATGAGATAAGTACACGTCAGCCAGCAATTCAGTATGGGGTGTGGGTGTGCATTATTAAAAAAAGAATCAGGAGGAGACCTCAAAGGTGCCATGAAAATGATTTATTAGCCAAATAAATTGTAGGCTTTGTGGCTCTTCAAGGGCAACTGGTTTTTAATTCATCTGAAGGATAACTGTCACTCTGAGATAGTGTCCAACACTCTTTAATTATCCTTTGAAAGGATTAAATCAGTTGCCCTTGAAGAGGAGTTGCAAGACTTGAAATGCACTGGACCAACAAATTATTTTCAGTTTGCTACTGAAATCTCTTCTATCTGTGCTTATTGCATTGGTGCCTTTCCTTCCTTCCTGCTTGTATGCAGCTGTAGTCCTTCTACCTGGCTGGATTAAAATTCCCACAGTTCCAATCTGGGTGTTGTTGCCTTGTCACATGGCATGGGATCAGTTACTAGGTGTGTGTATCTTACAAAAATGTAGTAATTGTCCATCATGAAGGATATATGATCTCTATCACCTGCTCTTGTTTGCTACTCTAAAGTTTTCTGAGATAGGGTTTGAGAACAGCAGCCTTAAACAAAAGTCTTTTTTGTTCCTCGTTCCTGCCACTTTGCCTGCTAATCGCCACCATCTGAGAATGCTTCCGAACCTGTGATGATTGCACATGGGAACAACCACATGAAAGGAGTGCAGTTATGCGCCTTCCCTTCATTAGTGGCTTTGGAGTAACTTTGTGAATGCATTTCCTGCCAGCACTTGGGGTTTACATGATAGAACAAAAGTAATTACCCACAGCCTGGCTATTAGGCAACTGATGTCTATTTGCTAGGAAATCTCGGTGCAAGTTAAATATAGGCAGACTGGCCATCGGCCAACAGCTTAGGTTCTCCAAGCTACCTTTTAATTGGCTATGCAGAAATCCTCCCTCTCCAGCCCTAACCCTCGGAAGCCCTCTCTGCAAACTGTCTTCAAAACTCTCCATGATGCTACAGGGCTTTATTTGTCTTCGTAAGAAATAAAACAGCTCTGATCCATCTCCCCACCCCCAAACATCCAGCAGGAGGTCAGAACAGGGCCTTCTGCGGCACATTGCCGTGAGTCAGCCAGTCTACAGCTTCTGAACGTGAACGTAACAATAGTAAATGCTTTGTCAGTAGTATTCAGCCGCTCAGAGGCTGGGAGAGGGAAAAGAATATCTCATCAGACAGCCTGCTCCAGAGCAGGACAGGATTTCTCATTTTGAGCAGCACGATCCTGCCACAAGCAAAATGCCTGTCATTAGATGGGTGGGGTTTTGCATGGAGAAAGAGCTTGCTTCTTGCAAGGAGCTGTAAGGGGGTGCAATACACATTTGCCCACTCCACTACCCCCTTGCGGGATCCCTCTCTATTGGCCAGGAGAGGAAAGTGCAGGAAGTACCGTACATTGTATCCCTGCTCAATGTTGCAAAGAGGGCCCGGGAGCCAAAGGAGGGGATCCAGAAATTTCCTGGGACCTCAGCAAATGTTTGCACCTATTGGGCGAAGAACGAGCATTTGCATTTTGTGTAAGCCTACATAAAAATGCCTGGCGCTTCTTCCGCTGCCTGCTTCCTGTTCTCCCGGGCAATCCAGAGAGGTGGTGCTGAAGTCCCGGCAAAAGAGCATGAGCGGGTGAGGCCTGTAGGCGACACACTCCGCCTGCTGACGGGACTGCCATCTGCCAACGAAGGGCGCTGGAGGTGGCCCACCTTCAAACAGAGGAGGGCGAAGCTGCTCGTTGCCACCATTGACAGGTGAAGAACTGACTACATCTGGTGAATTTTCCAAACAACTCTCCTAAGAATCAGGAGATGGTTAATATTTGCACTGACTCAAATTATATTGCTAAAGGTATAAAAAGGGGGGAAAACCTCCACTCAACCCTCCACCTCCAAGTAAAGGAGTATTTTCCCCACCCAGGTGGGCCACCTTCTGCAAACCAGCCCAGAGATCTGTGTCGCCTTTTGTTGTTCGTACGTGACCAGGGTGTCCTGTCAGTGATATAATGTCAGTGCTGTCCTCTCCCTGCTGGTTGCCGCTTCTGTTCTTGCAGGCATCCTGCTCTATTGAATGCTCCATTGTTCACCACAAAAGAACATGGCTTTAAAAAACAGCAGGCGGGCGGCGTTGGAATGGAGATGGGCACTGTCCTTTTCGGAGTGCATCAGCACTGCACAACAAAGTCACCATCGCACACCAATACCATCAGTTTTTAAAGAGACACCAACTCCCCTCAGCTCCAGTAGAAAACCTCTTCGATTTATAGGCCACCAAGTAACAGCATACATTAGGCTCAGTTGCTGACAAATCTAACACTGCAAAAAAATTTGCTGGGTGCCTGTCGTGCTCAAGCAGGACAGATATTCCCCTCTCCCCTATGTGCTTACCGTTATTCTTCTGCCCTAGCAGTTAATACCATCACATTGACTCTGAATCGGACTGATTTGTTAGAGTGTTTTGCAGATGAGCCTGATTCTATGAGCCTCTATACTGAAATAGAGTGAATTTGCGGCTCTGCACCAGACAAGGCTGCAAAGCTTCTCCTTGCCTTTGAGATGGGCAGAACAGGTGCCCTTGCTGTAGCCATGCCAGTACTTTGCCAAGAGATGAGGGAATAGCAAGCGCTCTTTATATTTTATCCTGTGCGTTGTTTAAATGTTGTTGTCGTTTAGTTGTGTCCGACTCTTCGTGACCCCATGGACCAGAGCACGCCAGGCACTCCTGTCTTCCACTGCCTCCCGCAGTTTGGTCAAACTCATGCTGGTAGCTTTGAGAACACTGTCCAACCATCTCATCCTCTGTCGTCCCCTTCTCCTTGTGCCCTCCATCTTTCCCAACATCAGGGTCTTTTCCAGGGAGTCTTCTCTTCTCATGAGGTGGCAAAGTACTGGAGTCTCAGCTTCAGGATCTGTCCTTCCAGCGAGCACTCAGGGCTGATTTCCTTAAGAATGGATAGGTTTGATCTTCTTGCAGTCCATGGGACTCTCAAGAGTCTCCTCCAGCACCATAATTCAAAAGCATCAATTCTTTGGCGATCAGCCTTCTTTATGGTCCAGCTCTCACTTTCATACATCACTATTGGGAAAACCATAGATTTAACTATACGGACCTTTGTCGGCAAGGTGATGTCTCTGCTTTTTAAGATGCTGTCTAGGTTTGTCATTGCTTTTCTCCCAAGAAGCAGGCATCTTTTAATTTTGTGACTGCTGTCACCATCTACAGTGATCATGGCGCCCAAGAAGGTAAAATCTCTCACTGCCTCCATTTCTTCCCCTTCTATTTGCCAGGAGGTGATGGGACCAGTGGCCATGATCTTAGTTTTTTTGATGTCTTCCAATTCAGAAAGAGCGGGGCCTTCCTGTGCCACTACAAGGAATGTTGGAAACCGGAGCAGAATTTGCCACAATTTACATGTTCATCGGAGGTCAGGAATAGAAATCACCCAAGTAATATGAATAGAAATTTGCTTCTGCTTCTTTTTAGTACACACATGTTATTATTATTATTTTACAATTTATTAAATTTATATACCATCCTTCATCCAAACAGCACAGGGTGGTTTGTAATATTATGTAGTTACATCACTTTCTGTATCATTTTTGACATTTTAATTGCAGGGAAATGCACTGGAATTGATTGCATACTTAATTTGGCATGTGGGGGTGACTTTTGCCAATTCCTCTCTCTTCATTTGCAGCCCACCCCCCCCAGCACCACTTCCAATGACTGCCCCGCCCAAGCCAAGGGCAGATTTTCAGAGACTGCAGAGAAGCAGGAGGTGGAAAATTCATGTTCCATGAATGTTAACTTCTTGCATTCATGGAAAGAAAAGGCCAGGATCCAAGCCTCCATTGGGTTTGAAACTAGCAATAAAAAGTAAACAGCAAGAGCTGGAATAATCTATTTATGGTCATTATTGTGTGACTCCAAAAGATGTGACTCAGTTGGGTATATTCGGCAGTGATTCACCAGAAACAAACGTGACTCTCCAAAGAGCTCAGTAAAATGCAGACAAATTTCCTTCTGAAGTCAGTGGAAGATTTGAGTTCGCTGCAAACAGGATTTACACACAGGTTCATTTCCTCCCTTTTATTATTTTAGCATTGACGAGAGTAAAAAGATTTAGATTTGGATCAGCCCCACTTAGGACTGCTTGGATGACACTTGCAGTCACTGGTGACATGGCCTGTGAGATATTAGGTAAGGGACAGGTCTGGGCAATTTCCCCACAAAAACGCAGAGCAAATAAAGGGTGACATAGACAAACATTGTAGCTAATTTGATGGACAACCCTTGCCAAGCGAATTTAGATTGCTCTAAAATGGTAAAAGGCAACTCATTTCCAAAGGAACAAGCACATTTATTCTGTAGTTGTTGCATAACTATATTGGCTTACTATTTTTAAATCTAATGACTTTTCTTTCAGCAGCTGCCATTAAAGTTTTGTTATTATGCCACTACTAATCCAGGAGTCTTCCTCGCCTGACTGATTTTGTGCAGGTCTCCATGATGTTGCTAAAAACGTGCGGAGTCTCTCTGGACAAAGGGATTAAAAAATAACCCCGTTAACATTTATTAACTCATTTCCAGCGCTAACCTGCCCTACATTTCCAAACAAATGCCACATCTGATCTGGCAAGGGGCCAGATGAGACGTGACAGTGGCAGACCTGTCTGTGTGTGTCAGAATCGGATTGTGGCACATTTCATATGAAATCGGGCATTGGGCAACTTAAAGGGCAGCAAGGGAAAGCGGGAAAGGAGGGCTGAGTCCCCCCATTTGTTTTGTACCCTCAATGACTTTTTCACAGCAGCTTTTTCCCCAAAAAGCAATGGGCCAGATTTAACGGAGTTGTTGCACTAGCGGAAATCAGCTTGAGCCCTGCTAATGAAACAGGACTTTCCCCCTTCTCTTCTTCCTGTACTAAGCTGCGCCCTCCCCAAATCCACTTGGGAGAGTTGGGAGAACCCCAAATACAGGGCACTAGGGCAGTAGAGGGGTGATCGTTCTGTCTAGCAAACAGAAATGATTGCACTGATGGAAAAATTAATTGTCTTAGTGCAACACTGAATTTCCCCCTAGGGTGGTTTTTTGTTTGTTTGTTTGTTTTTTAGGGTGCAGGTGGCAGCAGTGGATACAAGCAGGGGAAGCTTTTGTCTATTAATTATTATTTTTCCTTATAGCTTTCCATAAAAATGGACAAGATTGCTAATATAACACACACACACAGCTTAATCATTAGGACCTCTAAATGATTTATGTAAAATATACATTGTGTTACTGATAAAATCAAGTGTTGAAACAAGTTAACATAAAGCAATATTGCAGTAAGCAATATTGCAATATGTTTCACAATAACGCCTTCTAAAAACTGGGTAATTGATCACATAATTGATCACGTGCTGTGGTGCACAAACACCATTTGAATGGCAATGTCCATCCAGTTGGGGGGGGGACTGGCCATTTTGAGCTTGGGACCAAGACTCAGAATTGTGTCCAAACTCAAACCAGAGCCAGCATAGCTGGTGTAACCTGAATCACGTGTTTCCTATAATTGGCCTCAGTCAACAGCCTGGCTGCAGCGCTGTAAACCAGCTGAAGTTTCCGTCATTTGACTTTTCCAAGAGCACACTGCAGTAGTCCAAATGAGATATCTAGTATACCCATAAAAGGTAAAGGTAAAGGGACCCCTGACCATTAGGTCCAGTCGTGACTGACTCTGGGGTTGCGGAGCTCATCTCACTTTATTGGCCGAGGGAGCCGGCGTACACTTCTGGGTCATGTGGCCAGCATGACTAAGCCGCTTCTGGCGAACCAGAGCAGCGAACGGGAACGCCATTTACCTTCCTGCTGGAGCAGTACCCATTTATCTACTTGCACTTTTGACGTGCTTTTGAACTGCTAGGTTGGCAGGAGCAGGGACTGAGCAACGGGAGCTCACCCCATCGTGGGGATTTGAACCACCGACCTTCTGATCGGCAAGTCCTAGGCTCTGTGGTTTAACCCACAGCACCACCCGCGTCCCTTAGTATACCCATACCTCACTTGAAATCGCACCTTCTTGCTTTATAGCAAGTCCAACTTGAAGTAGGCTGTGATCTACGATCCAGTATAAAAACTGGCAGTGATCTACCACGCAGGGGTGGGTGCAGGGTGAGCGGGCGCTGGCTGCTTCTCCCAAGGGGGCAGGGATGGGTGCAGGGTGGGCAGCAAGGATGGGTGAGCAGGCGCTGGCTGCTGCTCCCGACACCAGCTACTTCCCCCCACCATGGCAGGGGTGGGTGCAAGGAGGCACACATGCGTCAAAACAGCCCCTCCTGTGAGAGGAGTTCAAGACAAGGTTGTGGCTGCTCAGGTACATCTCCAGCGGAGGGGGCATGGCGATCGACCAGAATTCATTCCAGGATCGACTGGTCGATTGTGGTCGACACCTTGGACATGTCTGCTTTATAGCATCACCTGCATTCTGACACATGGCCTTTCCCCGGAATTAGGAGAAGGCAGGTTGGGGAAATACGAAGTAGTGATACAGATTCTTTGTTATACAGCCTGAGTAGCAAAAGGTATACAGTGGTACCTCGGGTTAAGTACTTAATTCGTTCTGGAGGTCCGTTCTTAACCTGAAACTGTTCTTAACCTGAAGCACCACTTTAGCTAATGGGGCCTCCTGCTGCCACTGCGCCGCTACTGCACGATTTCTGTTCTCATCCTGAAGCAAAGTTCTTAACCCGATGTACTATTTCTGGGTTAGTGGAGTCTGTAACCTGAAGCGTATGTAACCCGAGGTACCACTGTATTTCATGCAAGGTAGCACAGAATGATCATGGTATTTCCCCCTAATATAACACTTATTTGTGTTACATGCACATTTTAACACACTCCCCCCCCCCAATAAATACATTACAATTTTGGAGACATTGTTTGGTTAGAAAGCCACATAGTAAAACTCGGAGAAGTATGGATTGTGAAGAGTAGCTGCTTTTTTGGCTTGCAGATTGTTTGGGCAGTGCAAATCAGCCAGGTTGACATTGTGTGCGAACTGAACCAAATTTATTTCCCATCCCTAGAATAAATGCATGTAGAATAGAAATGATAATAAAATACTTAAAGTGCAAGCAAAATGAGGGGCGGAGCGGGAGTTACCTAACCTGTTAAACCACCAGCCAGCTTTATCTTCTTCAGCACAGTTCTCTTCGTAGTTGTCATTATCTCTGTCCTTTGTACTGAATTTCATTCCTTGGTGGTTTGCCCACCATTTAACTTCGGGGTGAAACCCCCCAGTGAGGGAATCTCCTGCTGTTCCAGAGTACTGCCCACAGTTCATCTTGTAAGAGCTCTGGTTGATAGAGGGAAGAAAAAAAAATCTGAAGCAGTAAGGTGCAACCTCGGCATCCAAAGAACTTCATCAGAAAAACATGCGCGCAACCCAGTCAGAAGCAGAAATATCTCATACAGTTTCACTTAACATGGAGTGGGGGTAATATAAAAGGCAAGCAGGTGTTTAAGGTGAAGGAGAAAAAGTTAAGATAGATTAGAAAGTGTTTCATATTTCTAAGATGCAACATTTGCCCCCCACCATGTATTTACAATCCTAATTTCTATTAGAAGTGCCAAGGTGTCAGTTAACGAAGTTCATTTTATTACCTGTTCGTCTCCAACTCTGAAATTTTCATACTGTGCAAAACGCTGTTCATCCATAAAATCAGACAGATCAATTTTCAAGGTATAATTCCCTGAAATACAACAACGATAGTGTTGAGGATAAATTATCCATTGGAGCAGAGAGAGAGCTTCCATTCAATTCACTTGGTGCCTTATAAGGTGTCAGATTCAAGAAGTGTTGAATTCGACCAGCAGCTGAGAAGGAAATATCAGGAGCACACCTAAAATCTGCTTCTGATTCTTCCTGCTTAATTTTAACCTTAATTTTAACCTAGGTTTACTTGTCCCTAGGGATGGAAGGATCCGTCAGTTTTGGTTCTCTCTGTTTCTCATCTCTCCAGTCTTAAAATCAGTTGTCCACATTTCTGCAGCGATTTGGAATTTATTTATTTAAATCCTCCAGAAAATTCACCAGCATTTTAGTGCAAATTTCTCTTAACAAACACCATTTTGTTTCATTGGAGAACCGCATCTCAAGATCTGGATAACTGCAAATTTTGAAAGATGCTTTTGTTTTGGTTCTCCCCACCCCACCCCCGGAAAGTCTGAATTTGATAATTTGTCCATAAATGCGAATGGAATCAAATTCTTCCCCATTCCTTCCTGCCCCACACGATGGGCGTGGTTTAGGCCAAACCATACTGGGATTCAAGAGGGGAGGCCTAGCAGGCCTAATTAAGCCCACAGGGGGGAGAGAGGAAGCAAATCAGTTACAACCACATTGGGGAAATTAAATGGTTGATTCCAGCCTTTGTTTCTAGCATTACACAATCAGCAATGTTCCTGTCATCATTGGTTTTCTTTACCCTAATGAACATTTACTAAGCAGGCCTTCTTACCCTGAGAGGTCAGATAGTGGAGATTTTTATTTCCAAGCCAGTATTCACCATCTGGTGAAGCAAAATCGCCAAAACCTTGTTCATACTCAGCCCAGTCTCTGAAAACAAAATGTAAACTTCTGATTTGGGTCACTCAAAGAGGATTATCAACTGGTCCTTATAAAAAAATATATATTTTTAATAGGCAAGAGGATTTTCAGATGTGCTTTAATGAAACACCCCTTTGAGTTGCACAGTCTCCTAATGAAAGCAAATCCCCAGTATTATATCAGTATATTTAGGGACATTCTTCTGGGTATATTTCACAGCAACATCCATTGTTTCCAATAGCTTCACTCCCTCACAAATAGGAATATTAGTTTCTATTTGATTGGGTGAAAAAATTGCTGCTACTGTTTTGTGAAGATGCCATGCATGGAGATTTGCCTGCTAGGAATGCCTTTGGCATCTTGGGTCCTAATAGGTCATGTGCCCCAACTTCAGTGGGAGTGAGGCATACCCTCCAACATTTCTCCAATGAAAATAGGGAAGTCCCATTCCATAATGATCATTTTACTATTTATACCCCACACATCTTACTGGGTGGCCCCAGCCACTCTCGCCGGTTTCCAACACATATAGAAAATTAAACATTAAAAAAACTTCCCTATATAGAATTGACTTCAGACGGCTCAGGGGTCGGATAACTCCATACCCTCCAACATTTCTCCAGTGAAAATATGGAAATCCTAAGGAAAAGTGGGACATTCTGGGATCAAATCAGAAACCAGGACAGCTTCTCTAAATCAGGGACGTCCCTGAAAATTAGGGACACTTAGAGATTCTGAGTGAGGTCGTACTTACTCAGCGCTGGGTATCAGGAGTCTCCTACCATTCAGTGTCTGAAAGAAAGTCCTGCACAGGCTTTTGCTAACCTTGTCACCGTTCCCAGGGAACTAAAGCAGTCTTAACTCCACACACAGAACTCTTTGAGGTGCATGAGAAGAATTAGAAAAAAGGACCCTGTCTGAGCTGTTTAAATAAATACAATTTTTGGTGGTGGTGGTGGTAAACTGAATGCTTATCTTAGCCAACTTCTCATGGGTCTAGTTGGACACAGAGGAATGGTGTTTGGAACTAGCTGGGAAAGGGAAGAAGGCTCAGAGCCTGGGGAGTGGTGGTGGGACAACAATGGGTGGTCATAGGGAGAAGAGGAGGTGGTGGAAGCTGAAGCGGTAGCAGGGCTTAGTGAGCTGGGAGAGCCTGTGGCAGAGAGAAGTGCAGAATCAGAGGCAGAAGCTGAAGTAAGAGTGAGAGCAGGGAGGCCAAGAGGCAGAGACGAGTGAGGCTGGTGAAGAGACACAGGTGTCTCCCCTTCCTGCTGCGACAAGGTCCCCTACTCCCTTGTCTTCCAGAACCAGAAGAGGCATGAAAAGGGCAGAGAAGAGGTTGGCTGCACACTGGAACTCCAACTGGAAAAAGCCCTGGAGAGGAGGCGACTTAGATGACTGTGGGGAGGCGAAAACTTACAGTCGCTGCAACTGATACAAGGGGCCAGATCTACCGGGAATGCGCTGCTGTGCTCATTGGGCCTGACACTCAGCCAAGTCTGTGGATATTGTGTTTTTGCTAATAAAGTGTTAACTCCAACTTTGAATTTCATATACTGATTGGAAAGCTCCTATGACACCAGCCCAGTTTTTATATTTGAATTAGGAAAGGTTTAGATAGAAAAAAGAGAACTGAAGTCAGACATGAAAATGACACAAGAGTCATGGGTGTATGTGGAGCAGATGGATGTAGCTTCTCCAGGATCATCAATGAGAAGCACTGAATATTACATTGCATCTTTCACTTTCAGGAGTTAGTACAGGGATAGAAGGTTTAGCATTAGCATTTACCTCCTTCCATGTGCCTATGACTTAGTTCTGATTTTAAGCCCACCACTTACCTATCAAAATTTTGACTCCCGTCTGACCGTCTCTGAAAGACCGTCCATCCTCCTCCTTCTGACATGTCACAGTAGGCAGAGAATCCTCTGGGGCTCTCAAGAGGTTTCATCTTGTAATATCCACTCTGTTTGTGTCCAGCGTTATAGATCTCCGCACAATCTGCATTGCCCCAAGACAACAGTCATTCCAAATAATGAAATTTGGTCTTGTTCTCATTACCGCTATAATACATGCAGAGAGACACTTGGAAGGGGGTCTGTATTGGATTCTGACATTTTATACATCTACTCAAATGTTAGTCCCATTGTGTTCAACAGGGCTTTCTCCCAAGTAAGTGGGTGCGGGATTGTGTCACCCAGCGATACATGATATGCCTAGAAAGCTAAGATAACATTTGCTGTTTCAAATGGTCTTGTTCCATGATCTCGGTTGAACTGTTTCAGGCTAAACCCCCGGAAGATTTCAAGTCATTTGTTGGTTAAATAAATACAAGGGAAACAGTTGGAAATTGGAGTTAACAAATTCCTAATTATATATGTTTATCCCACAAATCCTTTTCCACTGTTACTGCTGACTTGGTCTTTATTGAAAGCATATTATTTGTACAAAACCAAAAAACCTTTCCCTCTTTATTTGCAGCCTCCCAAGTCGGATTGACTATGCATATCTGTAAGCCCAGCTTACCTTCTAGCCTCCATTTCTGGCTCTTGCAATTGTAAAAATTAACTGTTTATTTCTCAGTGTGGGAATAGCGGTGGCTGCATATACAATATACCTTTAAAACAGCCCACCAAAGCATCTTTCTCACTGCCGTTTGCTGAGAATTATAGCTCTGCGAGGGGTGAACTGCAGCTGCCAGGATTCTTTGGGGGGATGTGCTTTAAAGGTATGGTGTATACCATGGGTCGGCAAACTAAGGCCCGGGGGCCAGATCCAGCCCAATTGCCTTCTGGATCCAGCCCACAGACAGTCCAGGAATCGCCACGTGGATCAGCGTGGAGATTCTGATCGTTCGGGCTGCACCATTCCCCCCCCACACACACACACCGTTGCGGCGCCTCCTCCCTCCCTCCTCCTGGCTTCTCCCTGCCCTGCCCTGCCTAGAGGAGGAAGGTACTGGGCTTTGTTGAGCCACGGTTGGCTGAGCGCCATTTTAAGCAGCCCCTCTCTGGAGCCAGCCCTTTCACACCGCTCGTCATCATCGTCTCCGCCACCACCAACCCCTGCTGCTCGCAAGGCACAAGAGCCATGGTTGGCTGAGCGCCATTTAAAGCAGAGTAGCCCCTCTGCAGAGCCAGCCCTTTTGTGCTGCTCATCATCCCTCCCCCGCCACCGCCAGCCCCTGCCACTCGCAAGGCACAGGTAAGCAGCCCCCGGGGCTCATCCGGTGCTGTGGAGAAGGGAGGGGAGAGTCATGGGGGGGATTTCCCCCCAAAAAATATAGTCTGGCCCCCCACAAGGTCTAAGGGACAGTGGACCGGCCCCCTGTGGAAAAAGTTTGCTGACCCCTGGTGTATACAAGCCCCATCCATATCGCCAATGCTATGGCCTTTGTAGTATGGGTAGGGCTGGCCACTGTGCCTCTCTTTGTTTTTGGTACAAGACTTGCCAGATGCCAGGGACTGGCTGGATGAGGAGGAATGGTGGGGGTGAGGGCAACCAGAGAATCCCCTAGGGAAGCCTCAGAAGAGAAAGGCACAGACCCAGCGGAATGCTGGTGGGACACTGAAGACAGGTCAGAGGATTGGGGGGCAGAATGGTTGGGCAGAACAGGCTTCAGCGAGAGAGAGGAACCAGAGGCAGAAAGCACTGCAGATGCAGGACAGGCAGCTGGGAAGGAGGTGGGAGCTGAGGCTGCAACAGATTCACAGGAGCCTGCCAGTCCCACTACGGTATATTCAGCTCCCCTCCCGCCTTGTCACCAAGAACACGCCAGACTTTGCATGTAGAGGAACAAAAAGCACAGACCAAGTTTAAGATTGCAAGGAAAACAGCCAACTGCTTTGCTGGGAGCCAGTCTTGCCCACAGGTTCCTCTGTTTGCATTCTGTTTCCTGGAATAAATAATCCCCTTTACTGCTCATCTCCTCTGTGCTGCCTCTGTGCTGACCTGCAGCTGAAGCAGCCCTGACAGCAGGGCGATATGGCATTACAGTACTGACAGGCCACACAGGTCTTGCTTTCCAACCCTCTGTCTGAAGGACTGCACAAAGTGCATGCCACTCTTCTCAACAGGTCTCAGAGATCACTCCAGATCTCTTCTTGACTAGCTGGATATGCCCCAAACTAAAATTCTGGTATGTGCTTGATTCTCTCCCTTTAAAAACTGACAGTTTGGAGCCACCCTCAGTTGTTAAAGGCTGCTGCATTTATTGAATATGCTGCTGAGCGGATGGAAAAATTAAAGGAAGCAAGCTGCTCAAAAAAAGGGATTTGCCGATTTAACTTTTGGAAGTTCAGGCTATGGTAGCTGCATGCCATGGTTTGGCACAAGGATTGGGTGGAGCCTATTTGAAAAGCAGAGAGGGAGGGAGGGAGATTTAGCTCAAACCTTTATATTCTCTTTCTTCTCCCAGATCAATAACACTGTTTTCACTTCCTTTATCTCTGTACTGCATGTCCTTCTCGATTAAGAGCTGCACAATCTTGGCTTGTTGCTGCTTCACACTTTGTTCCAGAAGTCTCACCTGGGCCTGGAGTTTCAGCTGCTCTTGGAAACAACTCTCTAAAGTCTGCCGGAGCAGTTCATTAATGGAAGAAGGAGGATGGAGAAGCATTAGTTGGGTCACTTCCAGACAAACCTGTTTATTGAGCATGCATTCCTATTTGCATCCAGAGAGGTTAGACAATGTTCTGTTGAACAACTCTTATCGCACTCTTGCCAGTGCATTTTCAATCGCTTTCATTATCGTAAAAAGTCTGATTTCAAAGGGGAAGCACATTTGCTGCCGAAGAGCTCCAAATCAACTTTAACTGCACAACCTAAATTTTCTGTTAGGTTATTGATGCCCACGTGAAAATAGTGGCAATATGGAATCACTGAATTGTAGAGTTGGAAGGGATGCCGACGGTCATCTAGCCCAACCTGCTGCAATGCATGAATCCTGCCCAAAGCTGTCCCTGGGTGGACTCGAACCACCAACCTTCTGGTTAAACGCCAGATGCACAAACCCATTGGATGAAGGAGATCGAGTATATGGAATTGGCAGAAATGACTGGCAGAATCCGAGACCAGGGAGAAGAGTTGGTGGAAGAAGACTGGAAGAAATTTAAAGACTATTTGCAGAAATACTGTAAAATTCATGAATGCTAAAATGATGTTGGATTGGAAATAAGTGGTATTGGTATTAAGATTAACAAGAATATGCAAATATGGATTGATAATGGATGAAAATATATAGTTATAATAAGTTAAGATATAGAGTAAAGATGGTTGAAAGAGGGTAAGGATTTGCTGAAATGTCTTTGTGAATGGGAATACAAAAAGGGGAGGTGAGAGGAGGTCAAGGAAACAAGTAAATGAGTCCAAAGATATTGAAAAATGGATGTTTTTTCTTTTTAAATTTCTTTGTCAGCTGCATGGTTTTTTGTATTTTGTACCCTTTTTATTCTTTTTTCTATGTGTGTGTTTTTAGTTTGTTAATTGTTGTTATAATTTTAGTTTGTTAATTGTTGTTATAATTTTCTCTATTTTGTAAACTTATGTTTTCTTTTTTGTAAAATTTGAATAAATATATTTTTTAAAAAAACAAACCAATTGGACCCAGATTTCCCACCTATCACCGCCTATCACATTCAGGTCCATGAGCCTATTTGAAAATAAGGAATGCAATATGCTCTTAAATTAGTAGTGCAAGGTTTCATAGCTAAAGTTGTGATTAATCATTTGACATGTATTTGGTGGTAGCAGTTCATCAGGAAAGCTTTGTGGAACAGACTCTTTTTGTGCTCAGAAAGGTAACCCTGTTTGAGCAAGGAATATGGAGTTCAGACAAAGAAAACTGTGTGTGTCTAAGACGCATGAGTGCCCCACAGAAGGGAATTCAATCAAAGTTGGTACTTTGTAGGAGCTACATGCATCCATTGATCCAGCTAGTATTAATAACTGGCGAATTTACATAAACATTGCAGAAAAACTTGCCTCATTCTCTTATCCATATGATGATAGCAACAAGTGACACACACACAGTCTTTAATATCCATGCTCATTCTGTGCTGCTGTTTTTGCCCTTTTCCCTGGTTTGAAATTATCCATTTGGTTCTTAAAAAATAATAATACTATCTATCTATCTATGTGCCAATCTATCAACACGTCGTTCTGTTTAGTGTTTTCTTTTCTTTGATAGGACAACACTACGTATTAGATTAGTGCAATTCTACAGCAGAACTTTCTTGGTTAAAACATACAAGATTCCCCCCTTCTCCAATTTAATTACATTTTGGCTTGACTTAAAAGTAGGAATTTGTTATTACAGTCAGGAAATACATACACAATCTGGGTCATAATTACATAGTGTTGCTTGCGGTGAAACAGAAGACTTCTGCACAGGACCAGACTTTGTTGGAGTCCCCTCCCCTCACTTTTTCACTACAAAAGATGTAATTCAGTTTTGTTGCCTAATAGCAGGAAAAGAGCTAGATTGGAAGGCAGGAGGAGGAGGAGGAGGAGGAGGAGGAGGAGGAAGGGGCAGCAATGATTCTGAAACTTCTACATGGATGAAAAATTCAAAACAGAATATTATTTATAGACTAGATCCCTCTCGGCTTCAGTATTCATTCCTAGGTTGCTTTAAATAAGCGTTTGTTGCTCGAGGCATGTTGATGCTGGAGCGATCTTGATTGCATGCCTTCCCTTTTAAATATTTGTGTTGCATCTCAGATGTTTGTTTTTCATTTAATTCCTATCCTTGAGTGCAATCCAATATATGGCAGTGGAGAACAGCCTGGAAAACATGCGGCGGGATTAGGCAGCTTGTCAGGAAACTCTTCCAGAGGGACGGGCTCGGTGCCAGTCCAAAGCAGCTTCGGTAATGCTCCAACAATTCTCTCTGGAAGAGAAGGGGACTTGCCTGCCTGTTGGCTGTGATGCTGCTTCAGTGTAAAGAGTGGAGCCCCTCCTTGCAGGTTCAGGTGTTGAACCATTCCTAGATTCGTAGCTGCTATATTATCCACCAGTGCTGCCAACTGACTAAAGGACTTTTACCGGATTAATTATCTACATTTTAGCTGGTTTGTTGTGCAGTTAGCTGATTCAGTGTAACTTCAATCAAAACAGGCAATTGTGTTCCTAACTTGTCTCAGACCAACAGATTAAAAGGGATCTCACTGTTTCAAAGCCTCTACCTCTTAACCAACAAAAGCGGTTTTTCCCAAACTTGGGTCTCCAGTTGTTTTTGCACTACAACTCCCATCATCCCTAGCTAGCAGGACCAGCAGTGGTCAGGGATTATGGGAATTGTAGTCCAAAAAAACAGCTGGCGACGCAGGTTTGGGAAACACTAAACTAAAGGCTTAATAGACTAATACAGTGGTACCTCAGGCTAAGTACTTAATTCATTCCAGAGGTCTGTTCTTAACCTGAAACTGTTCTTAACCTAAAGCACCACTTTAGCTAATGGGGCCTCCTGCTGCCGCTGCGCCGCAGGAGCACGATTTCTGTTCTCATCCTGAAGCAAAGTTCTTAACCTGAGATAATATTTCGGGGTTAGTGGAGTCTGTAACCTGAAGCATATGTAACCTGAAGCGTATGTAACCTGAGGTACCACTGTATACTGATTCAGATGCCTCCCATACTATTTTATTATTATTTATTGGATTTATATACCACACTATACCCAGAGGTCTCAGGGCGGTTCACAGAACAAAATCAAAATATAAAACCACAAAATATATAATCAAAATAAAAACAACCACCCAATAACACCCCCCCAAAAAAACCCACATTTTTAAAAGGCATATTGCATACCTTAGGATAAAGACAAATACACTATCCCCATTTTATACAGACAGGATGGATATGTGGAGGAAATTAGCATCTTACATAGCTGGATAGATTCAGGATCCATAGGAAGCTGCCGTATGGGGAGTCACGTTATTGGTCCATCTAGATTATTATTGTCTACACCAGAGATGGGGTACCTCAGGCCTTGGCACTGAATGTGGCCCTCCTAATTTTTCTGTCTGACCCTTGAGTCTCTTCCTGGGCCATGCACCCTCGCTAACCACATCTCCCCTGGCTCTGTTTTGCATCTTTGTACTCTGCTTGAATGTTTTTGCTTGGCTGGCATGTGCCATTGAACTCTGATAATGCCTCTTGTTTAGAAGACTGAAAAGGATGTGCAAGAGCACATAGAGGTGAAATGCACATTTGTTGCTCCGCCCACTTTTGTCCTAGGCCCCACCCACCACTGACATGTGATCTCTTTAAGATCAGACAGAAGGTAAGGTGACAATTGGTCTGGAGAAGGTTCCCCATTCCTAGTTTAAACTGGCAGCACGTCTCCCAAGCCTACAGGACATAGATATGCCAGAAATTGAACATGGAACCTTCTGCATTTAGTGTCTGCAGAACACATAACTGACTACAATTCCAAATTAGGGGTTTTTGTTGTTATTTTTTGCGGGGGGTGGGTTGTTTTTTATTTGCTAATGGCATTTATGAAAGGGAGCAGAGATGCACAAAGTAAAGCAATGGCTTTTCACTTTAAAGTACGGTATATGCAGACAGATGTTAGGAAAGGCTTTGTCTCTGTTAGCATGCATTTAAAAGGGGGAAATGACCATCAATACTGTTTTGTGCAGTGTTCATTTCAATTGCTTCCTTGAGCATTGAGCTGCACACAAATAATGTGTAATGATACAAAATGTGTATTCTTCATACTGTTCACTGGCCAGAGTTCTGGTGTAGTAATCAAGCATGAAGGAGAGCTCCCCCATGTCAAATATTAGATCTATTTGATGGGATAGGCTTCGGCCAATATGCAGTTACTTACATAGCCTTTTCTCTTAAGCTTTGCTCAGGAGAATTTAGAAATCTGTGCTGCAACACACATGCTCCCTCTTCTGGCTTTGCAACTGCAACACACCCAAGCAAGGAATTCTAGAATTGAGGAGTTGGAAAAGGACCATAAGGATCATCCAATCCAACACTCTGCAATGCTGGAATCTTTGTGAGGACTGAAACCACAACCCTGAAATTAATAGTCACATGCTCTACCAACTGACCAGTTTTGCAGCACTAGATACTAGGGTCTATATCAAGGATGGAGAACCCTTTTGGCCCAGTACAGCAGAGCAGTGGCGTAGCGTGGGAGGTGCAGGGGGGGCCGGCCGCACCGGGCGCAACATCTGGGGTTAGGGCAAATCCACAGGTTAGGGGGTGCAAATCCACGGGTTAGGGGGCGCAAATCCACGGGTTAGGGGGCACAAATTACTTGCCTTGCCCCGGGTGCTGACAACCCACCCTACGCCACTGCAGCAGAGCCTTTTCTCCACACTGGTCAACTTTCTGATAGGTATGCAAGACCACCCACCCACCCACCTTCTGAAGTTTTGATGTTGTCAGGCAATCCCAGCAACCTATCAAAGTTGGCCTGTAGAGTAACTCGCTGGCAGAGCAGTACCCAGCAGAACTGGATTCCTCTACTGCCCAGTGATGCCAGCTGATTGACAGATGGTCATGGTGATGGGAAAAAGGTATTGCAGGCTAAATTGGACCCCCTGGCCCACAGACCAGAGGTTCTCCATCCCTGGTCTATATCGGTGTACAGGAATCACTGTGAATGAGTGCAATACATTTGTGAATGAGTGCAGCCCTCATAAATACACCACTAGGGCAGTCCTTCCAAGAAGCAGGCTGCTGGCCGAGTCTGAACACCTACCAGCTGTTTAGTAGGGAACAGAACAAGGCTGCTCTTGTCTAGATTCAAATTCATATTTAAAAAACAAAGCGTATTTTAGGCATACTTGAGATGGCTATTTTGTGTATGTGTCTCATAATATCATGGACGTGCGCTAAAGCAGAACAGTCATCCACTTATAAGCAAGAAGTTCCAGTAAGGTACCTGTGTTAAGTTTGCTGAATAAAAAAACAACTCGTAATCCAGCAGCACTTTAAAGGCATATGAATGTGATTGGCCTAAGCTTAAAGCTTATGACATGCCATATTAAACATTAGCCTTTTAGGGTGCTACAGGATTCTTCGCTGCCTCCCCCTTTTAAGGAAAGGGATTTATGTTTTAGACATGCACTGAAGGCACCTGCGCCTCAATTTTGGAATTAAGGAGCATCCCCAAGTTATGTACCATCGGGGGGGGGGAGTGCAACTTCACCCAGAACAGGTAGTCTCCCCAATTCCTAGACATGAGAACCACCTAACTGCAACACCTCTGTCTTGTCAGGATTCAGTCTATTTGCCGCCGCCCCCCATCCAGCCCCCCCACTGCCTCTGGACACCTGCCCAGCCTCTCCCGATTCAGACAGAATGGAGACCAAGATGAGTGTTATCAGTGTATATGGGATATAGTGCTCCAGATCCCTAGGTGATAGCTCCAGTGGCTCCATATAGAGGCAAAATAGAATGTGATACGGAATAGACACCCGAAAGGGCCCTCCACACAAATTCCATGGGTATAAACAGCAGTCCCCCACAAGCAGCAGCATCTGAGGGTTGGGTAGCATAAGTGAGGTTTGTGCACCAGATATCATGCCCCACGCAGCCCCTAAAGTAGCCTGTTGCCTTCAAATGCAATGGAAGATGTTGTCCCATCACCAGTGTCGAAGGAAGATTCAGCTAACAGTCAAGTTGGCTTGGGTCCATTTTTTTCCTTTGCTTCAAGCACCAAAATTTCTGGGCTGGCCCTGGCTATTGTTCTGCAGATTTACCATCACTTAGAAGCCTCCAAGTGCTTCGAAGGCGGGTGGTTCCAAACAATTAATGTCAATACATAAGATGAGAGATAATAAGCAGCCTCCTTGCCTCCCACTGATTTTCCAACAAGTCATTTAAGGGCAATGGCGAGTTTCTCGTGTTTAGAATGCCAGAGTTGCTCCCTCTGGGGAAAAGTCACAAGGGCAGTTCTCTAAACATTACCAGAAAGCAGCACAGCTGCAAGGTCCTATGCTCTTGAGGCTTGCTCATCTCAGTTTACCACTGTGTAAAAATGCCTCACAGGTAACTAGACTTTAAACTGCTAAACTGGAACATTACAGGACTAGAAAAAAGGACTTCAGAAGTACACAGGGTATTGTTTTCCTTTGCCTTTTAAAGCCCTTTGAAAGGAACAGTGAAAAACATAACATAATCATCAGGGGGGATGCTATTTAGATCATAGCTATGTCATTAATTGGAAACAGATTGCGTGTAACGGACTCTGCCCACTTTATTGACTTTGGATTTTTTTTCTAAACTCCAAGCCAGATATTAAACAGCTGCTGTCAAATCCTGTGGTCTGGTCATGCAATCACATTTATCCCAGCTGCTGCCATTAATGCATGCAGAAACTTTTTATGTTGCAGCTTTGCATGGCCAATTACAAGCTAACATCCATCTGATACATTCTCTGGAGGAAGGTGTATGTCAGGTTAAAAGAGACTACCATGAAGGCACCCTCGTTCCTCCTTTCCATGAACATCATGAAGATAAAATGTTGTGTATTCTTAGTACTTTGGAACTTAAGATACTCAGTATCGAGTTAAGAACATTTGAAGTACCCACTAAGAACAATTAAAGAAGCATTTTTTCTTTGTAACTCAAGGGTTGTGTCCAGATTTCTTAGATTTTAGTTCTCTTTGGGGTTAGGTGGATTTAAAAGAGGATTGGACAAATTCATGGAGAATAAGGCTGCAATCTGCAACATTTTGTTGCGGGTACCACCAATGAAATTAGAATAACAAGAATCTTTGAACATTTGAGGACTTCAGTAAGAGCCACTTCCAGAAATCTACCATATGCAGCTCATCTCTGGTCTAACATATTATCATTTAATATATCTTTAGACTCATATTTTCATGTTCAACCAAAAAAACAACTCTGTGTAAGAAGCTGTCCTTATCTGGAGAGCAAGCCCTCTAACCAACCACCTTGAATTAAAACAGGAACTCTGAGGGAATAGTTCTGATCTGATGTTTTTAATGCATAAAAGTAGCAATTATAAACTCTGTTGCAGGGGGTTGGACTAGATGACCCTCGTGGTTCCTTCCAACTATACCATTTTATGATTCTACTATCAGCTTAAGTCAAATGTCACCTCTGAGCTCAACAAGATCCAAGAATGAATAAGCTCATTTTCCCCCCTTATATGGTGAGAAGAAACTACAAATCCTCCTTGTATTGTGTAAAACTTACCAAGCCAGCTGTGCCTACTATCAATACATTCTGGAGAAACAAATGAAATAAACTCCAATTTTTCATTTTGATGAGCCTGCAAAAGAAAACAACATCTTGTGTCAGCAGGAAGTACAAGCATAGCTGCTGATGACTCGGCACTGTATTTGCAGAAAAAATCAAGGACCTGCTGTTCGCTCCCTCATTTGCATAGCTGAGGCAAGAAGTGCATTGCTAGAAATCAAATTCATCTGAACTAAAATATTTTAATGCAGCATACAGCCTAAAAAATAATAATAAGTGCTCCTCAACCCTATGGTTTGGTTCACCCGCCATAGTATGCCAATCTATGGTTTACTGTGAACAAGCAAACATGACGATGCATATTGCTCAAATCGCACCCACTTCGCTTCTCCATTCTCCAAGTAGGAAAGAAACCAGAGTGCTGGCTGAGTATTAACATGCAAACAAGTGCTTGTGGCATGCTCCTGTTTTCAAAAAACACAGAGAGACAAGAGGAAGCCTAGGTGTGCTCTTGTCTTCCTCTCTGCTTTGCTTGGAGAGAATCAAATTGTGGAAGATTAGCAGCCAAATCTAACAGCACATGTTCTTGCTACTTAGCATGAGAAGGGGTTAAGGCTACAGAGTTGTATTGCTGACAGGCAGAAACTCATACCATAGAAATGTAATTGATAGAGAGGGCTCTATGTGATGTCATTTCCCCTCCTCTCCTGAGGTGGAAGGAGCATATAGCATTTCTGGTTCTCCCCTCTCTCTCTGACCAGTGACAAGAGCAGGAATGCATAAGCTAAACAAGCTATAGCTTGGGACTGCACTCTCTTGGGGGCTGAAAAAAAATTAAAGTAAAAAAAACCCCACTGGATGTACATTTCCAAAATATAAGATAAACAACAAATAAAATAAACCCTACATACAGCAACAGTGTTTTGTGTTGTGTAGCTTCCTATGATGTAAGTAATGGGCCCCACCTGCTAGCCTGCTCCCTAAAATATCACTGGTTTGCTCATTTCTATATATAGGGTGCCTACATTCTGCATGTGGAAATGGCTTTAGATACCTATTAGGTCTATAAATTATCATATAGCATATATTCAACACCAAAAAAACAGTGACAATTTGTTGTTGACAAAGGAGAGCTGGACATATAAAGGGCCCCATTACCTTCTGTAGCTTAGGGCCTCATCAAACCTAAATCGGGCCCTGCGTCCATGGCAACACATGGATGCTCACATTGCGGGGTGGTGGTGTGGGTGGGTCTAAACTACCCGTTTGCGGTATTAAGCTCCTGTCCGGAAACACCCACAGTCAAGTTAGAAAGTTACTTCAGCCATCCATCTGTTGCTGCAACCATCCATACATTTAAAGCATAACTTCCACACAGTATTCTGGGAACTGCAGGTTGTTAAGGTGCTGGATCCCAGGTCCCAGCATTCTTTGGGAGAAGTCATTTGTTCTAAATGTATGCTGCGTCTGCAGCTGTGGAATCATTGCCAAGTTTATTTTCTTAGCACATCTGGAGGTCAATTTAGCCAATGATGACGTCCGGCAATCACCATTATCAGGAGAATGTTAGCCGCTTTGAGGGAAAGGAGAATGTTAGCAGCTTTGAGACTCCTTCAGGTAGTGATAAGGCGGGATATCAATTCCAAACTCTTCTTTTTCTTCTTCTTCTCTTCTTGCCGGAGTGGTTCTGCCCTTGTGTTCAAGCCTCTCAATTGCATTCCAGCAACATTTTCAACTTGAACAAAAGAGAGGCATAGAAGACACCTTCACCCGGTATGGTTCCTCTTTATACATGGCCCAACAAGACAACAACAAGAATCCACTGACAGCATACGAATCAATCTGGCTAACCTGATCCACACCCCACTCACACACAAAAACAGATCTCACTAATAGCTAACCAAAGACAACCAACCACACCCTAGGCCACCCCCAACCTCTCTCACCACCAGTGGCGTAGCGTGGGGGGTGCAGGGGGGGCCGGCTGCACCGGGCGCAACATCTGGGGTTAGGGCAAATCCACAGGTTAGGGGGCGCAAATCCACGGGTTAGGGGGCGCAAATTACTTGCCTTGCCCCGGGTGCTGACAACCCACGCTACGCCACTGCTCACCACCAAGGAAATGCAAAAAGCGAATAGGAAGAGAACCCACACAAGTGATGCTGACACAAAACCCCACACATACTCTAAGTAGAAGAATAGAAGCATTGCCACCCGACCCCCCCCATTCACCATGCCCCCGCTTTTCTTCCTAACCTAACACTGTATGCAACACTAATGTCTCACAACAAATGAAACTGGTCTGTAGAAAACACAACTTGAAAAAAGAGACAATGCATTTGTAAACTAAGGAATCTTTAATAAAATATACTAAAAAAAACAAACAAACTATAAAAAACAAAGAAGAGGCATCTAGCTGTTTTGGGAAGTTAAAACTTCCAGTCCTAAAATATTAAGGCCACACTTAAAATCACGCTGCTGCCTGAATGAGGTTCTTCACTGCTATTTTGATTCCCTCCCTTAATGAGATATACTTTAATAGGGGGAAACAAAACAATACAAGTAAATAGAATGAAATACTGTAATTAGGCATATGTGGAAACTGAAGCAACAGACAAAAGATTCTTCAGTACAAGAGAGCTAATACATTGTAATTTAAAACACAGCTGAAATGGGTTGCACGGGTTTTAATAAGCGTTACTTCCCTTAATTGTTGGCTTTGTAAACTGAAATCATATGCAAGATATCCAACACAATCCAGTGCATTTTCACTCAGTTCAGTGAAACTTCATCCCAAATAAATGCTTACAGAATTGTAGTCTTCTCATCTTTACAGACCTGCAACTCACCTTAGCCCAAATATGCAATGTGGCTTAGTTCTCACTTAAAAAAAAAAAGGTTTATATTTATTACCCACTTTTTTCAGAAAGGTGAACTCGAAGTGACTTGCAGAAACAAACATTAAAAACCATAGATGCCAACTCACTGGGGTCCTGGGTGCCAGAGCACACACAAAATTCCCCATGAAGGATCCAGGCAACCACAAATTTTGGTGCCAGGGCCATGCACTGTGCATGGCACCCACAGCCCCGGGGCACCCACAGTTATTGGGCTAAGCTGGCGCTCCTCTTAAAAACAAACATAAGGTAAAGGTAAAGGTAAGGTACCCCTGCCCGTACGGGCCAGTCTTGACAGACTCTGGGGTTGTGCGCCCATCTCACTCAAGAGGCCAGGGGCCAGCGCTGTCCAGAGACACTTCCAGGTCACGTGGCCAGCGTGACATCGCTGCTCTGGTGAGCCAGAGCCGCACACGGAACGCCGTTTACCTTCCCGCTAGTAAGCGGTTCCTATTTATCTACTTGCACCCGGGAGTGCTTTCGAACTACTAGGTTGGCAGGCGCTGGGACCGAACAACGGGAGCGCACCCCGCCGCGGGGATTCGAACCGCCGACCTTTCGATCGGCAAGCCCTAGGCCCTGAGGCTTTTACCCACAGCGCCACCCGCGTCCCCAAAACAAACATAGAAACCACCTAAATGCTCACCAATGAATATGCATAAAAGAGCAGACCCAAATCCACGCCAACTTATCCAAAGATAAGCAGCAAACTAAGGCTCAAGGGCCTGGGTTTTTCTGCCTGGCACCTAAATGGTAGAAATGCTGCTGATGCAATCCACCGTAAGCCACGCTGCCACCACTTGAAGATCTACAACTTAAAGGGTCCAAGATACAAAATAAGGTAAGATAAACTGGGAGTTCTCTTCCCACTGATTTCCCATAGAAATTGTATGTACTCCCAAATATTGACTAATTACAGAAGACTAATGATCAGGTTTGAGCTCTAGCAAAAAAAACCCACATTCATAGCAGCGAAAGGATGGCACAGAAAACCACACTGCCATGTTTGGGTTCCCCATGTCTGAGTGCAACAGGTAACAATGATCTGTGTTGTTGTGACATCATCACATCATGCCTTTCCCTGCCTTCGCTCCACATAATTAGCTATTGCTAGCAGTGGCAAGGAAACACATATGATGATGTCACAAGATGGATAAGTGCTGTGCTATATTGACATGCAGCGGGCAGAGCCTGTGATATGCTTGCTGATATGCTTGCTGATTTTGGGAAAACAAAATGCTTGTTTACAAAACTATTGTACTACCAACTTTACTGTTTGCTGGTGAAACATGGACCACTTATAAACGCCATCTCCAACTCCTCAAAAGATTCCATCAATGGTGCCTCAAAAATTTTTTACACATCTTTTAAGAAGACAGGCAAACTAATGCCAGTGCACTGGAAAAAGCAAAGATCCCCAGTGTCAAAGCAATGATTCTTCAACATGAACTTTGTTGGACTGGTTATGTTGTTCGGATGCTTGATGAACGTCTTCCAAAGCAACTACTCTATTACCAACTTAAAAATGGAAAGTGTAATGCATGTGGTCAAGAAAAGGTTTAAAGACTCTCTCAAGGCAAATCTTAAAAAGTGTAGTATAGACACCGAGAACTGGGAAACACTGGCCTGCAAGCGCTCCAATTGGAGAACAGCCTTTACTAAAGGTGTCATGGGCTTTGAAGACGCTCGAACTCAGGATGAAAGGGAGAAACGTGATAAGAGGAAGGCACGTTTGGTAAACCCTCACCGTGATCAACTCTCGTCCGGAAACCTATGGCTCCACTGTGGAAGGACGTGTGGATCCAGAATCAGCCTCCACAGTCACTTGCGGACTCACTGTTAAGACTGTGTTCATGGAAGACAATCCTCCTTGGCTATGAGTGATCGCCAAAGAAGATGCTTGCTGGTGGTATGTAACTCTGCCTCTTTCTGTTATATGTCTCCCACGCAGCCCTTGCAATCTCCCTTTGCTATGGATTTACTAGAAGAGCAATTATAGTACAGTCGTTCCTGCTATGGTTCATGGCAAAAATGAGGTGAAATTTGACACAGATTTTGTCAGCTTCATGCAATTCATTGAGTCAAATCTGTGGGGATTGGGAGTCCTGAATCCCATGACCTTCCAGATAAAATTAAATGACATTGGCACAACCCTTGCCAATTTTATCAGGCTAGTTCTTGTACAGCGTCTGCAAAAAATTGCTTTTGTTCTTGTTGTCTAGAAACACCCACTACCCACTGAAACATATTAGCTCGGATTAATTCATGCCATGCAAACCTTTGCATACTTACTTTAAAGTAAGTTGCACTGCACTCAATGAGACTTACTCTCCAGTAAGGGTATTGAGGATTGCTGCTTTACCTGCTTTTCCAGCAACTCATTAAACAATTAATCCCATCAGAGCACACCAACGTAATTAATGTAAGTACAGCATATATATCTGGTGATAGGGAAATCACCTCCACCCTCGAAACAGTCTTTTGTCATTTACCTTTAAATGCTGGAGAGAGAGAGACCCTTCGGAGTTGATGCAAAGAATATCACAGCCTTCTCCAGAATGAGATAGTTGTTGTTTTTTTGCTGTTAATTTCTGAGCCGTCCAGACTGTAATGAGTCAGTGGGGAGGAATGTTCAGAGGAGTTGCAGTTGTCCTAACCATTGCTAGCTTGCCACATTACAAATACAATACTAGTAAGATCAACTATGCAATGAAAAAATGAGGGGGGGGATAAAAAGTTTATTGCTAAACAAAAAGTTACAAACATTCTCCTTCATTTGACACCAAGAAAAGTAGTACAACATGAGATCCCACTAGACCCTGCTTTTCCCTTCTGAATCTCACAGGAGGTTCAGTGAGATGGGGAGATAATGTATTTATCTTGTGTATGATAACAACAGTGAGGTCACTATGTGCAGGAAAATGGCACCTATGTATCATAACCACAACAGACAAGTGGATGGAAAAAGTCTTGGTATTGCCAAAAGGTAATGGGCAGCTGTACAATGCCTTTTGAAAAGGCTACATGAGCACTCGGGTGGATATGAAGATATAAATGCATGTTTTCATGTTCCCACAGAATCCAAAATTGTGCTAAGGACTGCAACAGTGGGAGGTATTGTGGCACACAATATCTATTGAATCAGGGCTGGGAATGCTCACATCTGAAGCTGTAAAGAGCCGCTGCCAGCCAGTGTAGGCAATATTGACCTAGATGGACCAATGGTCTTTCAGTTCAATGCAGCTTCCTTAGGGAAGCATCAGGGATATCTCCACTGAACACAGTTGCAATTTACTTCTAAGTAATCATGTTTAGGATTGTCTTGTTAATCTCTGAAAAATGCTGTCACCACAGAAGAGGTCAAGTCTGATGATATGTCTAAGAACCATTTTCTAATTAATAGTTCTTCTCCGTTATAAACTTTTGACATGTACATAGCTTTTTTTCCTAACCACATAGCTACATACCCAAGAGCTGCACCTATTTCCAGATTTTAGGTGTTTGTTTCTAGAGAGAGGGAAAAGTAAGAAATTATTTCTTTTATCATTAGTTTTTAAAGCTTTACCATTTGTGCTTTTGTGTTGTATTTGGCTGAATTTCAGATCTGGTAAGATTATTGATGTTTAAAAGATGTTACGCACCTGTCAATTAACTGCAAATGTCCCACAGACTAGAACTATGCTCATTTTTGAGAAACCTTGACTTCTATGCGTTAAGCACCACCTGGAAGCTTTACTGTTTCTCAGAATGCTGACGTCAAATCACCTTGAGCTGTTATGTAAAAATACAGAAAGGTCAGAATGGGATGATGCATCTTATCCATCTGCTTCCTGTGTTTTTTTCAAAACATCGGACTAAGGTTCAGGTAGAGTATTTGACTACTGATGAACATATTTTCTTCTTTTTAATTTTTTTATTGCAAAAGGAATCAAACTAAAAATTACCCCCTCCCTCTCGCCTCCCCTTTTCCTGCCAAAGGAGGGGAAGAGTCCCTGCCCAAGGTGGTCTGGAAGGGGGATCTACAGTTCTGCAGGGATGATAAGGCAAAACAAAGAGAGATTGTTGTAGTAGTCAAAGATACAGGGTAAAAGTGGACATGACCCTCCAAGGTGTATTATAAACTATTACTTCATTCTCTGTTGAAGCTTCGTGACTTTTTCGACAGCTTTGTGGAATGAAGTCTCCCTCAGAATGCAACTGCAAAAAGAGATCACGTTTTTAGATCAGACGTGAACATTATCCATACTTTTAACATTTTAGGCAGAGCCCTTTGCGTTAAAGATAAGAGCTCATATGGACAGAAAATCATTCTGTCTTTGAAGCCTCTAACATTGCTTGGTACTCTAGATTCCTGACTGCTGACACATGCATTAAATTAAAGCCATAAGGTGTTGAGAAAGCAGTTCAGTATCAGGGGCATTTCAAACTGCAGAGGAATGATTGTTATCAGATGCTCTTTTAATTTTTCAATTATTAATGCACATCATGCCCTCAAGCTTGTTTTTGCAACGTGCTCTCAGAATTTGGCACTTATTCATCTTACTTCCTGCAACAGTGCCTAAGGAATGGAGAATGTCTAATTGAACCAGGTATTGTCAGAAACAGCTATGTTGCTTGAAGAGTATTAATACAAAATAAGTAAAGAAACATTCTTCATTAGGTAACTTTCTGGTACTGTAGGTGTGCAAAAGATTTAAACGTTTTACAGAACTCGTCCTCACTTTGTCTGATCAACAGTTGTTTGAAACCTCACATACTCCTGCCTGCATTCTTTGGATGTTTCTTTGGATAAAATCCATTCTGGAACAGGATGTATTCAGGCTGATGAAAGGGTTTATGTGTTCCCTCTTCCCCTTCCCCGCCTTATTTAGGAACAACCATTTTACAGTAAGATTCACAGAAACCAAGTAGTCTGAAAGGTGAAATTCCCTAGAAATATTTCAAGCCAGCATGTAGATAAAGACACTTAAGAGCTCAAGAACCAATTTTAAATTTAACTTGTCCTCTTTCTCCTCCTTTATCTCCCTACAGACAATGACAGATTTTAAAAATGCTCAGTCCAAGGGTAAAGCTGAGAAAATATGAGGCTTTCAGAAAGGTTATTAGGAAAATCCTTTGTGGTTTTTAAATTTTATTTACAGGAACCTCAAGAACGGAATAGCTTTGCTTTCTGAAGTGCTGCAGTGTCACTACAATGCATGGGATTGGGACCCAAGTTCTCAGTCTGTCTTTTGGGTGCCAAAAATCTATTTAATGTGTAGATACAGAACATATCAGAAATGAAACTTGCAAGAACAGAATACCTTTGTACAATCTATAAACTCTCAATAATATTTTAATAAATAAACATGTAGTTTCCTTACGTTCTTCTGCCACCTGCTGGATAGATGGATTTTTTATACTGGCACAATACAGAATCGCATTTAATTTGCTCAAGATTAATTAACATGGCTTGATAAAGAATAGGTGTTAAAATTTATTTTTATTTTTTTAATTTCTATACCGCTTTATATTTTTAAGAAAAATCTCAAAGTGGTTTACAGCATAAATGCAACCATCATCTCATAAGAACTGTGAGGGGACTTCTGATCATTTGAGTTTAGGGCAGTTAACAGAAGTTTGTGAGTTTGTGGGCCTTAAAGGTAAAGGACCCCTGACAGTTAAGTCCAGTTCGCAGACTACTCTGGGGTTGCGACACTCATCTCGCTTTACAGGCCAAGGGAGCCGGTGTTTGTCCGCAGTTTTTCCAGGTCATGTGGCCAGCATGACTATGCCACTTCTGGCGCAACGGAACACCAAAAGCAGAGCAGCGCACGGAAATGCCATTTACCTTCCCACCAAAGCAGTTCCTATTTATCTACTTGCACTTTCTGACGTGCTTTCAAACTGCTATGTTCTAATCAGCAAGCCCAAAAGGCTCAGTGGTTTAGACCACAGTGCCACTTGCATCCCTTTGTGGGCCTTAGCCTGGGTTAAAATCCAATGAAGGATTCTAGCAAGCCAGACAGGGCAGTTCCTTGGTGAGATAGATGCTGCTGAAGGTCTTTAGTCTAACAAATGAAGTGGTTTTGTGCCAGAAGGCACACGAAACCCAGCACCATAGGCTCAGGTGGCATCTATGGATAATAATAATAATAAGTAAATAAACCACTTATTATTATTAATTGAATTTATATGCCGCCCTATACCTGGACAAACTTGAAATATAAAACCACAAAATACATAATAAAAATAAAAACAAACAACCCAATAACACCCCCCCCCCAAAAAAAACCCTACACACATCTTAAAAGGGCTACAATGTCAGTTGAATAAACCAAAGGCCTGGTTAAAAATGAACGTATTTTGCCTGGCGCCTAAAGGTGTATAATAAAGACCCCACCGTCTCCGCTGTCCCTCATTCCAAGAAACTGGTAGGCAACTGAGCAATCTTGCAATGCTCAGAGACTGAGGTGGTGTGCCATGTTTTTGTTTTTTAAAAGTGAGCCTCTAAGCCCTTAAAGAGAGTTAAGAATACGAAATGAGCGCCGCACCTCATAGTCACCTTTGACTGGACTTAACCGTCCAGAGGTCCTTTACCTTTTTTAAAAAATAGATTACATATATGGTGCTATTCTGCCTTTTTGAATACAGATTTGTGTGTGTAAATTGCATTTGTGGCCTCCGGGTGTAGGGCAGTATATAAATTCAATAAATAAATGTAAAAGTTCCACCTTTCTTCCTTTTCCTGCCAGTCAGCGAGCTCAGCCCCGATGGACCAGGAGAAAAGAGTGGAAACAATTCAACCATGCCCAAAGGTAGCATCTCCGTTAAAAGATGTATACTGTACTATATTGCTAGTAACCGGTGATTCTGCACCAGTCTATTGAATCCGCGGTTTCTGAAAGGAGAAACAGAAGAGAAACGCAGCAATTTTATCAGCCAATGCGAAAACCTATTGCAGAATCACCGCTCGAGACTTAGCATTCGCGCACTTTGAAAAGGCTCCTCAGCAAGTCGGGCAATTCTCCTCACGGAGGTAACGCCGCCGTTCAGGAAGCCCGATATCCCACAATGCAACGCTCTCTGCCACACAGGCTCGAACTACGCTCCCCAGACTCACTCGAGCGGAGGCCGGCGGCCGGTTCGCGAGGGGGCCGCGCGCGCGCTGCGCTCTGGGAAACGTAGTTCGAGCGCGCGGGTCTCGCTCGAGGCGGCCCCTCCGCCACCGCCGCCGCCTCCTTAACGCCCGTCGAGGAAGAAGCGTAGCTTCAGGAGGACCGGGCCACGTGACCCGGGGGAGGGGACGAGGAGGAGGAGGAGGGGGCGGGGAAGAGATAAGAGAAGGCCGACGGCGGAAGAGCATCTCTTTTTTCCCGGCAGAGGGGCGACTAAGTAACGGTACGTATCCGTCCGCCGCCTTCCTTTCACCAAGATGGCGGCGGGGACGGCCGTTGGAACGGGGATGTGAGGGGGGGGCCCGTCATGTAAGCACCCTCCCGCTCCGTTTATGGAACGAGGACGCCGACGGGAGCTGCCGGCCGAGAAGGTCGGAAGGCGGCGAGGTTCGGCTGCGCCCTTTACCCCCTCAAAACGAGGAGCCCCCTGAGGTGGGAGATAACGGGAGGCAAAACAAAAAGCGCGCGCGCGTGTTATGATGGGGAGGGGTGCCTCTGTGGGCCCGCCTGAGGCAGCGCGCGCCTCAGGAACCGCGCGCGCTGGTGCGGAGGGGGGCGTGTCCACCCGCTCAACCTCGAGAGCCCCGCGCGGCGCCCTTGGTAGGCTCCGCCCCCTGCGCCTCGTTGGGAGGGGGTGCCTTGTCTCCAAGGAGACGGAGTGTTCTATTTCCTAATTGGCCCGAAGCCAGGCTGCTTGGGTCGTTGGGACCCGCCCCCCCCCCGCTTTGCTCCTCCTCCTCCTCCATCCTCTCTCTGCCGCTATAGGGACTTCGCCGCCGATCTCAAGGCAGGAGCGGGTATTTCTGAGCCCCTGGCTCCGCCCCTCCAACCGTCTTTCTGACCCCGCCCCCGAGAAGCGGCAGGTAAGGAGGGATCGGCAGTCGCGCTGGGGCGGCCGTGGTTTGAAGAAGAGCTCGGGGCTCGGTTCCCTGCTTGACCGGGCCTGCACAGCGCCGGCCGCGGGTAAGGGCTCGGCTAAGATCGTTTCCTTGCGATTGCGGCCTTTTAGGGAACTGGGTTCGGGTCCGCCGCTGTAACTGGGCGGGGGACGGGGAACCCATCCCAGGTTTTTTCCCAGTCTCAGTAATATAGGGGAAAGGGGCTGGGCTTTATGATGAACTCGAAGGGTCGTGAGCTGCGGTTGACCTGGCCAAAGAATTGTGTCGGGGTCTGTGTTCGAAACTCCCATTGTTGCAGGCACAGTTTTGCGACCGGGGATTTCATTCACAGTCTGAGCTCTGGGCCTAAGATTTCAGATTAAAACCGCAGAATGGAAGGAAAAGAGTACCTTTTTCTGCCTCCCCACTTCCAGCTACTCCCTGAAGACTGGAGAATAGACCCTCTTAAGAATATTACTGGGGAGGGCAGGGGAAGGACCAGACCATGTGGGAAATGAACATAATATTTTAGCTGTGCTTCATTCATTTTCAGATTTGTACTCTTGTTATTAAAAAAAAAAGTGCCCAGACATTCCGTTGTTGCTCCCATAACCTAGGTTTAAGGTACCATTTAGCTCCCAGTTTTCATATCTGAGTTTCTGAAACTGGTTAGGGTAGGTAGGTGCTTCCTGTTAACCATGGCATTTTAAAGCTCTCCTCTGTGCTTCTGGTTCTGCTAAAACTGCCAGAACTGAAATATCGGAAGCAATATGCCATTACAGTGGTACCTCTAGATGCGAATGGGATCCGTTCCGGAGCCCCGTTTGCATCTAGAAGCAAACGTAACCCGTGTCTGTGCGTGCGCGGGTCATGTTTTGGTGCGTCTGTGCATGCACGTAACTGTCATTTTGAGCACAAGTGTGAAACCCAGAAGTAACACGCTCCGTTAATTCCGGGTTGCCGCGGAGCGCAACTCGTAACACACTCATCTCGAAGCACATTCAACCCGAGGTATGACTATATAAGCTTAACCAAGCTTCTTATAGCAAGAGGCTTGTTTGGGTGGCTGTAGTCCAGCTTCAGTGCTTCCCAATGGTAGCCAACATTTAATTATTTATTACTATAGCCTGGAGAGTTTAGTTGGTTAGAGCATGGTGCTAATAATGCCGATGTTGCAGGTTCAATCCCTGTATGGGACAGCTGCATATTCCTGCATTGCAGGGGGTTGGACTTGATGATCCTCAGGGTCCCTTACAACTCTGCAGTTCAATTATTACTTATTAAATTGTATACTACCCTTCATCCAAAGATCACAGGGTGGTTCACATGAATACAAGGTATGCAGCAGTGCCTGGTCTGTGTATACTTTTCTACGTTTTCAATCAGAAGTGCAAACCAGTACTTCAAGTTTAAAGCTGCATACCTTTTGTTACCTTTCCTACTTTATACATAGAACAAGCCAGTTACAAGATTGCAACTTGGCTGCTGCCTTCTTTGTCCTGAGGTTGTTTACAGAGTGTGCTAGGCAACCACCTTGCGATCTTAGGATGAAGGGCGGTATACGAATTTAATTAATAATAATAATAATAACCCTCTGTAAGTCGTCATAATGTACAACAGATCTTGTTGCTTGAATCTGCACTACAATTATGGAAAATACTGTAACGGTAAAAATTAAAAAATCTTGGCGAGATCTAAGAAGTTCTTCCTTGTTTCAAAATTAATGAAAACAGTTGTAAATGCCTGTGTGTCTTTAATTTGTTTTTCTTTTGAGAGCTGAGGGTGGCTGTAAATTGGGCTGATATAAAGTGAATGCAAAATAGCTGGGGAAGACTATTAGTTGCTTTAGAGTATAGAGCACAGTGTTTTTTTGCCAGTTGCAAATGATACTTGTGTTATTGATCAGGCAAGAACAACAGTGCCTCACTGTCTTTTCATTCCTGTTATAACCATGGGACATATCATATGTGGCAGATAATTTCTAATGTAAGGGGGCAGACGGATTCAAAAGGGAGCAAGAATTTGGGGTCATTGACAGCCTGATCCTTGAGTTCAGTTGTGTTCATTTCCTAGTAAGTTTGAGGGGTGCAGTGCTTTCCTGTATTTACCCTTGTTTGGAAGGAGATCACTGTATTTTGCAATATTTGCATTTATTTACAAAAATACAGGTTGAACAAAGATACATCAGGAGCACTCAACCTGAAGTCCACTTGTCTCACATTAGATCTCTAGGGAGACAGCAGGCACCCCAGAGGCTGTTAGTTTACAGAGTTCAGAGCTCAGCTCTTTTCTTCTCAGCCTGACTCAAATGGCAACCTGTCA